GACATCCAAGTTGTTTGAGGGACTATTACAGGTCGGAAGAGGGGGTAAATGGAGAGGGCTGGGTGCTGAAGACAAAAAGTTAAGCAAAGGTTGGGATATCTGAGCAGTAGCCCACCCCACTCGATGCAATGAGCAGTGCCGTTCTGGTTATCCTGCGCGACGACCAATGCAGTATGGAATTATTTTTTGTTTATGTATGCATTGGGGTTTGATGGACGGGTACTGCTAGGGTGTCCAGCCAATAAGCAGGAGAACGATTAGGGGTCTCATTCAAAGCCTTTAGTTCTAACAAGAACCTAACCTCGGTCAACAAACTGCGTTAGCTAGAACCCTTAAAACTTTCAATTTAGGTGTATGCTGTGTCTTCGAAACACGCATACAAGACCCTATTTCGATCATCTTGCGTTTTTCAGATCCAACACTCTCCGTGTCAGGCGATTCACCATCCGAAGCCCGCGGTGTTGTGGTGTTTGGATTGCGCTGAGTGTCAAGGCCGTGGGTTCACTTCTCGATTAGATCCCGGTCAACAGCCCACTTTGCGCCGTGCATCTGGGTGGTTCAGCACGGGTCAACAGCTACAGAACGATGCATCGGTGCTTATTCATTGTATCCGTGCATGCACCGACAGATTGCAGTTCATCAGAAGTGAAGGATGAATTTTACAAGGACCTTCCTGAACTGCTCTAAAGTGCTCGCTCAACGGACACTGGGGTAGTCGCTAAGGGCTTCAATGCTCCAGTGGGATCCCTAGACGAATCAGAGGGGCTACTTGGTGGTTCACATGCAATCCCAGCCAACAGGACTGACAACGGAGAACGCCTACTCCAACTTTGTGCTGACCACGGACTGTTTCTGTCAAGCACGAACTTCTCGCATAAAAAATGACACCGCCTTACATGGAGACTGCCAGCTTCTTTACAACGATGGACTCAAATCGACCGTATCACCATCAACCACCACCGACGAATATCCATTGAAGATTGCAATTCTTACTGGTCAACACCCGTGGACATGGACCATGCTCTGCTATGAGCCAGATTTTCCCCACGCATTGTAATCAACCACAGAAAAGTCACCGGAAACGGATATCCCCAATACTATGTCAGGGATAATTACAAATCGGCCTTCGAAGCGGAAATATCAGATCGATTCTCAGCTCAGCCATTACCTGAAGGACTCCGTGAACACTGAGCGGTAATCAAGGAAGCAATCCAAATGTCAATCAAAACAACGGTGAAGTCTGGTGCACAATCAAAGTAAAAGCCGTGAATCTCCTCAACCCCGGCTGCCCTGCTGTACGATCGCAAAGCAATTTCTCCTGGTGCGACAAAGCGCGCAAATTCCTCAAACGCCAGCTCATCAAGAGTTTGAGGAACAACTGCGAGAAGTGGTGGATTCGGAAGTGTAGAGAGATGGAGAAGTCGACCTCCGACGACTACGGCATTTGGGGCATGTGTTGCGCATGTCACGAAATAATTTGCCACGATACACCATGTTTGCCGAGGCCTTCCGCGGATGGAACATGGTCGAAGGCGATCAAACGAAGAGTTTGCACGAGGGTATGAAAACCCTAACCAGGAAACTCTTACACATATGCACTGTTAGTTTCTCTGGATGACGACTGCGAGATCATGGTAACAATTAGTTAGAGACACTGATTGATATGAATGGGGGTCTCGAATAGTGGCGCTCTACTCATCATTCTTGCAATCTAGTCTGAATTTTCTATCTTCTCTTTGACTTGCTCCTAACATTTAAATCATCATTCTGTTTTTTATCTAAATGGGCAGCCAAATTTCAACAATCACAACCTGCGCTTGAAAACGCATAGTAATGGTTGTAAAAACTGCAACTGAAGCTCGTTAGTTTTTATTCGAACTAGGCACCCTAGCTTGCAGCAGTACTGCGATACGCCAAATTGATTCGTTGGTATTCATTGACTTCCCAAATAACCCTGGATCAGCTCAGCTTAATGTCATTCTGGAGGCATTATCGTTAGTGACCAGTTGCTGTTGGACCGGTTACCCGTGTTGCAGGATCCATCACACAGTAATGACTTCATGTACGTGACCGCTTGCAGGTTCGATTCTAGTGTGGATTGGTCTTAACGTTTGACAATGTTGGAAGACAAAGCGGTTCGTGGGAGTCTTTCTTCATCTTGGTGGTGCAGTGGAAGAAAATAAAGTAGATTAATTCAGATTAGATCGTCTTAGTTTGCTTCACTTTTTCTTTTCATTTCTAGTCCTCAGTTTGATTACATCTAATTGCAGGCCCTGCCTAGCGTTTATAGGTTCATTATTGTTAATGCTGCTCACAAGCAATTTTATGGCAATTTCATATTCCTCGCCACCTATGCTTTGGGTTCTAGGTTTTTCTAAAAATTCACGAAAGTGAACGTGCTTTGAGCATCTTGCAACGTCTTTCAAACAGCGGATTCAGTGCAAGTGGGAATCTACAGGCCGAGATCGGCTTGGCTTACGATGGGCTCCGGGATATGGTTATGGCGGCAGCACAATTCAAACAAGTACGTTTTATGTTTTTACAAGCTCATTGCTCAATACGTCATGTTATCGAATCCTGTTGCCCATCATACTTGCCAAAAACCATAAAGTTCACTCCCTTGAGGAAATCATCTGATTGAACACATGATTCTGGCGCTTTTGATCTAATGTGAATACTAAGTATTATAATTCGCTTCATTTATACGCGAATCCAAATTTTCATCTATGCCCTGTATATTGACGACCAAATAAAATACATTTCTAAGCCCACGTGATCAAGTCCGAATCACAACTTGCCTTCACATATGAATCCCAACTATTGACAGAGAGCGTTGCACCCTATGCATGAGTGTTCATCATTTTATGATTTGTCGTTTGGATACACTTTCGGAACGTCGATCAACACGCCGGATTCGTTCAGGTACCGGTAAACTAGAATATGCCAGCTGAACAATTTTCTCCCTCCTTAAACCTCCTCTTGATAGAGTTTCAACATTTCGCTTTTTTATTCGTTCCTTCCCGCACCCAATCAGCTGTTCACCACATTTCCTTGTCGTCTGGACAATGTGGATGCCTACTCAAACGTCCTGTTTGTTCGCGAAGAATCCGCTGAACTGGCTTATCTAGCTCATCACTGTGTGGAATTGGACAAGTATCGACCTGAGACTTGCTGTGTTGTTGGCAATTTTTTCAGTTTACGCGGTCAACATGACAAGGCGGTGTTATACTTTCAGCGTGCCCTAAAACTCCGGCCCTCTTATTCATTAGTATGGACCTTGGTGGGTAAGTCTGTTGATATGACGGAGAAAGATATATCCCCTTCTTGATTCAAACACAAATGAGCATATGAGTTGTATTCATGTTTATCCAGAAAAAGGAGCGTTAGTGTCAACCAGATCACGTTGTAAGGTAGTTGTTTTGTTTAAAAGTAGCTTGATCACAAGAACCATGCTAATGCGACTGCAATAAAGGTGGAAAGATTAGATTTAAGTTTTTTTAAATATCTGTTTGGGTTTGTTTGTCTTTGCGTGGAACACGGGATATCAACGGTTAGACTGTACAGCATTCGTGCCACTTTTATTCTGAACCATGTCTCAGCGTCTCCAATCAACGACTATTCTCATCCTTTGGGCCCCACGCTGGAAGGTGGGGCCAATACTGAAGCCTTTTTACAACCCCCACACTGTCTCAATCCGACCAACACATCTCTTTTAACCGTGCGCAATAGGTGCTAAGAATCACAGGTAGGTAGACGATGAGTAGGTATAAGCAAAATATGAGCTGGTCATCGAAGGCGATTTCTTCGTTCAGATAACGACCGTGAGCACTCAACACATGACGACAATCTCGGCTGTTGTCCCGCCGGTTTTCTCAACAAACACGAACAATACTTCACAGACATCAACGACCTGTCCCAGTTGTTTAGTCACTGTCACCGGCAAGCTTTGCACCCTATTGTTCGAGGTTCGAACCCCACTACCGCCACCCAATTTTGGTTCAACAACACACCTAACCTAGAGGGACATTATGTGGTTTTCCACTCCAAGTCTCGGGGCTTAGGTTACTGATTTCCATCACTGAACAGCAGGTCCTCATGACTACAGGGTTCGTACGGTCTGCTGTTCATCACACTAAAGCGTGTAATAAAAAAGGAATATAGAAAACCGATCGGCATCCGCAGTCCACCTTGAATGTAGTAAAAAAGCAATATGTTTCCCTTCGAGGAGATGAAGTGCTCAGTGTGCCCAGCCTTTGAGATTGGAGAGAGACTCATAGGAGCCTGGCCTTAGTTTTTGGATTGACGGTCTGTTGGAACCAACCATGAGATTTGCAACGGAATAGCTGTGGGAGAAGCTGATACTGCCGATCAGCTCAACTGTTCCTCGAAGTGTTACACTCTGCGTGCAAGACGTTGCTATTGATTGCGAATTGGCAAGCCGTCAGCTTCACAAATCGGTTCTCTCCCATCCATTGCCTTCCTACTGATGGACTTCGGTCAGATAGAACGTCTTGTGGCAATCTCATTTGAGCAGGACGTTCCATCTTTGATGCATGTTGAATTCACCAGATTTCGTGGTCTCTGCGTAAGATCACGTTGTGATTCAATATGCTCACTGTCGTTCGGGATCGATCCGATTGCATCAAGAAGGCGCGGAGATGCAGCAGAAATCTAGACTGTCAGATCATGGCATATATATATATATATATATAATAGGGGGAAATAGAGGGAAATGGTCACTTTTATAGGAAAAATGGTATTTCCCTATCAGGTCCGCGCTGGAAGAAACGGCGAGGTGGACAAACTTTGATGTGGCCTAGAGGGTTTTACTGGGATCTGGCTTCCTGGCTCCCCGGCTAGGACTACAAAGATTCAGATTGTCTTTGACTGGAGACACTGCGGGATATCTCATCAAACCGAAGTCAGTGGCTTGAATGTATCCTTTTCTATTTGCGATGGCAGTGGCAAGTGTGATGATTCGTCCCTGTCGTATTCGCGTGTAACCTGATGTAATGTAACGATATAAACTGTAGTTTTCTGCCATACTGTACGAGTTGAGATGCAGCGAAATCTGCTTGGACTTAAATCGTTCAACCTAGCTTTGTTGTGCTCTCTCTTCAAGTTTATCTTGGCAAAACAAAAAGTAGAATTGGCGTGTAGTAAAAAAAAATTTGTTTATTCCCAACGTCGTCTGTTTTCCTGTTTCGCGTTCAACCCATGATTATTTTGGGCCCCGTACTTATAAAGATTGGTGTTTAATATAAATATATTATGTTACCTTGTTATTCTTTTCCACGGCCAAAGTTATTTACTATTCTTACTTCGCAACAGAGGAGAGCATTCGTTTTGTTATTCATCGCTCATTTTGTACGCGTGACTGGAAAAGACAAATATGTTGTTTGCCGCCCTCCTGAAGTTTGTCGGAAATGCGCTTTCTCTGTCGATTACGATGATGTTCAAGTTTTGTCCCACAGTTTTGCAAAAAAGCCGATTTGCAACTGAAACTAATACCACCCAGCTCGTTTGTCAAGATATCCTCCAATATTACCGGACAACCCTGTATATCACTTTGGCATGGTATGGTGGATTATGTCTGTTCCATTGTGCCGACTCTAAGATAATTGCCATTGGTTCGTACGGAGAATCGCGTGCATATTACCGCTCATGACATTTTGATGCACTTTTCCTAGTTTGTTCACACAAGTAACGCAAACGTATTTTCTATTAGAAAAAATGGAAAGCCGATGGATTCCTTAGGGGTTATCAGCCGTAAGGTTGACATGATCCACGATGCCTTGGTTTAAGCTACTCATTCTGCTGATGTTTTCAGGTCACGAGTACACGGAATTACGCAATACCAATGCGGCCGTGCATGCATATCGCCAGGCAATTGCACACAACCGTCACGATTTTCGCGCATGGTACGGTTTGGGCCAGATGTACGAAATATTGGATCTACCATCATTCGCCCTATACTACTACCGGTATGTCTTAGGCGGACCATTTTTCCCGCTGTTCTTTTTGCCTAGTAGCTCATTGTCTTCTACAATATGTTTGGGATCCACCTCATGTTCTTGTTCATCTTGTTAGCCGTTGGCGATTTTCATTCTGATTTCAGACTATAAATTCCTACTTTCTTTTTCACACAGACAAGCACAGTATCTCGCCCCGACCGACTCTCGTCTGATTGTCGCTTTGGGCGAAATCTACGAACGACTGAACCGCGTGGATGAAGCGAAAAAGTGCTACTGGCGTGCCTATTGTGTGGGCGATATTGAAGGTAGTGCACTTGTACGTTTAGCTCAGTGCTTTGTTCAGTGCAATGAAGATGCCGAAGCCGCGGCTGCTTACACAGAATTTATCAAACTGTGTGAGCATAATGGGGTGAGTGTGTTTCTCTCTCTTATATCGTTGATTCGTTGGTTGTTTTTCGGTTCTTATTGTAATTTCGTTTGCCTCCTCATCCTACCTTGTTATATCGAACTCATAAGTGACCGATTCGAGTTCACACACTGCGCTCTCGGTAAATTATAACTAATCTCTCTGCTGGTAGTTTCATCTTTTTTGTGAACTGATTACTGATTGTTCGGTAGATATGCTCATCTGCTGACTGTTGACCTTAGATTTGCACATCAGGACTAAATCGCCCTTAGAATATCCAGTCAGTACACGCTTTATAATTCAATATTTGACGGGCTTGCTAGAATCCTTATCCTATTCCGGAGTTCAAGATTTTTCTCTTCTAACTGCTCCTTGTATGCATAAATCCGCGCTGGTATCTACACAGTACAATATTATAAG